GGCAGTGGCGGAATTAGCACCGTGGGCCTAGAAAAAAATTTAGAAAGATAAGACTAATGAAAAAGCGTACGAGTCCGACCCTGTACATATCTCCTCTCACTATGGTATAGGGAGTGAGCCATGAGGCATTCCCCCAATTCAACGGCCTCAACTGTAAAACAATAGTGCATTCCACGTTAGGGCAAGCCGTGGTTTGCATCTTATGTTTCGAGTTTGATATCATTTTTACACACTAACACCTTTAAGTCTTTAACCATTGTTCTTCTCAATAAAAAAAAAATTGTAAAGCAATAATAAAGTCTCTGTTTTTGTTATTAATTGTTCTTAAAAAATAACTTGAAGAAATTATTTTGGATATGTACTATTAGTAAGTACATCCATAACATTTTGTGTATATGTGTAGAGTATTCTTGTACTCTAAAAATAGTAAAATAAATAATCTGCGTCTTTCCAAAAGAAGAAAATTGTTCTATTCTTTTTGGTTAATTTTCGAAGCTCTCTCCTTGGCAACCAAACAATGTTTTTTTACTGAATTTATTCATTGTCTAATTTAGTTTAAAAAATATGATCAAACATCCTAGATCTTCAAAATTTTTAAACTCTATCCACGTTAATTTAACTTAATTTCAACTAAGAAAAAGTGCGGCCATAAAATATATTTAAATAGTTAAAAATAATGACTAAATAATAAATTTATCCTTAAGAAAAATAAGGAAAATCTATGACATATGTCACGTAAGGTCAACATGCTTGGGTTGCTTCCCCCTAGCATTTTCGTTCTCTTCACAAGTGAAGTCAATGTTCCAGTGGTCGGTCGGTCAAGAAAATATTTCATTCGGAAAAATATTTTGTAACCAAAATTGATTAAATTCCAATGAATTTGTTTATTTTATACTTTAATTATTAAATTATTATTATTAATTTTCTTAAAGATGTGAAATTTTAAATTAAAAAATAAATTTTAATTTCAATTTTAACATGAACCAAATAAAAAATTAACACACGAACATTTACATTTAAAATAAAAATCAATTTTATTATTTTCAAACTAAAAAACATTACCATACTTATACAATTATTGTTTCTTATCTGTGCCCTTATAAACCCAATTACAACTTGATCAGGTTACTCTATTGTCTTCAATTGTCCCTTGGAAATGCAGGGTACGTTTTAGCTTTTTACATTTCACTTAGCTCGTTGAGCGGTGAGAGATGCATCCTGAGCTCATAATTTCGAATTCCCCTTTCTTGAAAGACCACGACTCCTATTATAATTAAATTCCTAAACTTAATAAAGAAAGAAAAGGGT